CCCCTCCCCCCACACCATTATGGGGGGGAAGGACCCGAAACCACCATGAATTTGGGCAAAAACCATTTAAAAAGGTGGTTTCGTGTCAAATTTGTAATGGATTTGGGGCTACCAAAAAACTAAGACGAAATTTTTTGGTCATTGCCCAAAGATTGCAGAAAGCTTGTGATTTTGGGGCATTAACTGCGCTTTTAAGAGACTTTTTGGTCACTTCAGGCTAAAATTACTGGTTTTAGAGGACTTTTTGGTGCTTTTGGGTAAAAACCAAGTATTTTTATATGCTTTTTGTCTATTTTTGTGGGACTGATGGGTCGTTTGGCCACCAAACGGCATTGAAGAAGGAATTTTATCCTCATGGGGGATAATTAAATTAATTTCATAGTCTGGAACCCACTTTCATGGTGGTTGGTGGCCACAGGGACGTTGAGGTGGCCCCTGGTAGGACCTGGGCGAGGTTCAGACTTTGCCCAGGTCTTGGGGTTGGGGTGAAGGATCTCGGGGGGCTTTGGGTTGGTCCTTGAGTCTTTGGACACTCAACAGGGATCTCCTGCTCCCCCGCCCCGAACCTCGGGGAGACACCATTGGCTTGTGGTGGCCACCTGTTGGCTTGGGGTGGTGACTTTGTGGTGGCCACCTGTTGGCTTGGGGTGGTGTTGGCTGGTGGTGGTCACCCATAAGCTGCTGGTGGCCACCGGTTAGATTTTCTTGGCCCGCTTGTTGACTAGCAGTGGTGGTGGCTTCTCCTGGTGGCCACCTATTGCCTGGTGGTGGCCACGCATTGATTTCTCGTGGGCCTCCATTGGGTTCTCTTAGCCACCAGTGATGGCTGGTGGCCGCCCGTTGGGTTTTTGTGGCCATCTGTGGCTGGCGATGGCCAACTGTTGGGTTCTTGTGGCTGCCCAGTGGTTTCTCTTGGTCTGTTGTGCCTGGTGATGGCTATCCATAACTGGTGGCGGCCACCCATTGGGTTCTTTTGGCCACCTGTGACCCGTGGTGGTCTCCTGTTGGGTTCTCTTGGGCGCCCATGACTAGTTTGGGCCACCCATGACCGATGATGGCTGCCCGTTGGCCTCTTTTGCTCCCCTGGGACCATTGGTGGCCTCTGTTGACTTCTCGTGGCCGCCTCTTGACTGGTGGTGGCCCCATGTTGGGTTCTTTTGGTCCCTGTGACCAGGGGTTGCCACCCGTGACTGGTGGTGGTCACCTTGTTGGGTTCTCTTTGCCACCCACGACTGGTGACATTGACTCTTGGTGGCCACCATTGCCTCCCCGTGGCCCTGGGCCTATCCCACCCCGTCCCAGTGCCCTGGGGGCTCCCCCAACTGGTCTGACTGGTGTCCCCCCCCTCTGTGGCAGGCCAAGCTCCTGGAGGAGATGGACCAGGAGTTCGGGGTGAGCAGCCTGGTGGAGGAGGAGTTCATGAGGAGGAGGAGGGTGAGTTGGAGACTCTTGGGGACACCGGGGGGCGCGTGGGGAGCCCTGGGGCCAATGAGGTGTCCCCGTGTCCCCAGGAGCTGTACAGCGCCAGGGACCTGCAGGGGCTGACGGTGGGACACGACGTGGGGGCCTTTCGCGAGGGGGAGACCACGGTGCTCACCCTCAAGGACAAGGGTGAGTCCTGGGGGGGGTGGGGGTG